CAGGCTGTGTGAGTCACAGGTGAATGAGGTGTCAGGGCAGAAACAGAGAGAGCCTTACAGCTATGACGACTCCCGGTTGTCTCACCTCATGATGAATTAGGCTAACATAAGAAAAACCAGATGCTTCTTTTGATCTCTTATTAGCTTTCCTTTTCACATGTTGGAAGAATTTATCTCTGCTATTTCTGCTTCGCAAGCAGTGCCTTACCCTCATGAGAAAGTGGAGCAAGCTTTAGATGCTTCCAGTGAAGGCTGAAGACTGCAGTTTCCTTCTGAAGCTTGTTTTAGAAGCATCTGTGAAACTTAGGGAACAGTACTGCTCTACAAATTTAATTACAGTCTGAAGACCAGTGGCGTAGAAACAAGAGACAGTTGCCAGTGATGCTATAAAGAAAGAAAGGAGTTAAATACTAAATATGCTCACATTTTTAGTTTGGGATTTAGTAATTTATCACTAAAGTAGAGCTGAAGCTAATCGATATATCATGAGATGGATGGAAAAAATAATCTTATAAACACACAGTCCTCAAAAATATGCTAAAAATGTTGCATTAGCAGCATATTAGCTGAGGGAAGTGGGGCACAGTTGATAGCCTGCTTAGGAGCAGAAAAACTAAATACCTGGGACAGAAGACTAAAAAGATACCTGTGAGCATCTGCTTGGTCAAAGATCTGAAAACTTGGTGGCTGTAAAAAATTCACTTAATCTCATAGACTGTATATAAAAGATGTAACTCCCGTGCCTGGAGAAACTGTGCTGGGTTCTCTATGACCTCAGTAAAGACTTTTCAGATGGGTTTATTCTGTTAACAGCTACTTTTAAGACACTTGAATACAACATTACATTCATTTGTTAAATTATAGTCCTGTTTACAGCGAAATAAACAATAGAGCATACTGTTCTTAATAACACATAAGAGGGCAGTGTTTGTTTTTGTTTCTCTGTCACATCCATGTGTTTTAAAACACTGTGATGGTGACAGGGAAACATCACATTGAGACTTTGCTACGCTAGATGATGCTACCATGTCCGTGTCCATCTTTTATGTACAGTCTATATATGAGTTTGTGACTGTGGCAGAGATCAATGAACTTTTGTTTGTGGTGCACATGACACTATTTCCATAAGGACTGTTTCTCAGGTAGAGAGTCGTTCAAATGAAACTGCTTTCTGAAATATATATTAATAAATACTTTTAATACTTTAGATAGCTTTTTTTAAAATTATTCAAATGCAGCGTTCTTTATTGTATTGTTTATATTCGTTGTTACCCCTTAAACCTGTTTTCTCTGAGGTCTATTTAAAAAATCTGTATGACTGAGTAGGAAAATATAATGTGCTCCAAATTATATAACTATGGTTAACTGACCTTCCTGTGACTTCCTGGAAATGAAGACAGAAATTAGCCCATATGCCCTCTAGTGGCAGCACTTCACCTAACCCTCTCTCCTGTCTCCTCCATCACACGCAGGAGCCAAATTCCCTATTAAATGGACGGCCCCAGAAGCTGCGCTGTACGGCCGTTTCACCATCAAGTCAGACGTCTGGTCCTTTGGCATCCTGCTCACTGAGCTTGTCACCAAAGGCAGAGTGCCCTATCCAGGTAAGTGACAGGGTCAACACTAGCACACAGATATACACATACCTGGTGTGAAGAAAAGGTGTAGTGCACCAACAGAGCGCAGTGATTAATGGCCAGAGCGATCAGCCTGCAGTCTGTCAGCAGACGTTGAGCTGGTGTGCTTGTTAATATCAGAGGATGAAGTGAAGCTGTCTGACATTGTCTGCGCTGGTTGTTTATGGCTCTGTAGGGGGAGTATTGACATGTACACGCATGCACACACAGATAGCCTTACACACACACATACACAGACTCTGTGGCACATTTGAGATTAGATGAGACCATCTGGTGGGGGACGATCAGGAGATTGAACACAACTCTTGTTTATAACCATCTGCCAGACCGATTCTGCCCCAGGGAGCAGTGCCCGTAGCCTTCTGTGCTACCTTCACACAGATCAGGTTTATATGTGATGTAGCCTTGAAACTAATATTAGAGGTGTGTGGCTGAAGAGAATCTGATAATTGATTATAGAAGTAAGTTGACATTTTGAGAAATAGACACATATTTATGGTAAACCTGGGGAAACAGCTCACTGGGCTCTGTGAACAAACACCACTGGATTTTATACATTTGCAATTCTATGTTTGAAATTGCAGGTATGGTAGCAGCTCAAGGTAGCCATATTCTTACCTCACAGGAACAATTCTCAAATTTAACAATATATTCTGTTGAGGTTTTTGCAAACACACATTTACTAACCATTTGATGTTAATTTGTCTGCCATTGGGGATGTGTTACAGCCTTGGTGAGCATGTAGGATCAAGTAAATAAGGCCCAAGTCATCCACTGCCCGACTGTTGTATCACGTTTAAAAGGGCGGACAACTCTCAAGCAATCTGTACATGACATGGATTAATAAACAGTTTAGACCATAAAACAATCAGTAACCTGTTTGTTGTCATTGAGAAAGACTCAGACCCGGCTCGGTGTTAGAAAAAATATATAAAATTAGGATCCTTCCAAGGTGGCTTCACGTTTTCAACCTGGTCAGGCCACATCCATCTTTTATATACAGTTGTTGTCTTATTACTTTTGGACAAAGTCTATAAGCTAAGCTTAACTAGCAGGTTGGTGTCTTTAGTAATAAATCAAACAAAAAGGTTGTATTTCATTTCAAATGAATTATATGAAGCCTTTTAATTTGAGCAAATGTGCAGCTTCAGTAATGTTGGGATTGAAAAATTAGGGATGGAAATTTGTGACTGATTTTTCTCAGTTTAAAGGTGCTAAATGATTACATGATTGGCAGGTCTGTCACAATATTCTTTATCTATTCTGTTTTAAATACACTTTTATGATAGGCAAATCAATTCACAAGTCTATAGGACAAACTCCCATGGAGCCTAAGCAATCCCAAATCTTGTCTTGAAATCAAAATGTAAAAGAGTGAGTGATATGTTTCCTTAAAATGTTTATTTAAAAACATAAACCACATGGACTGTTGGCTATAAATTACTAATGCTACCCAGTCATGTGCAAAGTGTTAAGGCCTCCTGCCACTGGGATCCAATGCGTCAATACAAGAGCAGTAAATTTAGGTCAGCGTAAAGAGTAATATCACAAAGTGGTAACAGAAGGTGCTTAGTTTTAATTGACTTTTAACATAAATAAATCAATTAATATTAAAATGCAAGTGAAGAATTTCAAGCTGAATTTCTTATATTATTGGGGTCCACCTGCAGTACAGATATATGATTTGCCTATTACTACTTTATTTATTTATTTATTTATTTTACATGCAGCATGGATATCATCAGCACCATTATATTGTGACACTCAAATAGTTTTTTTTAAATCACAACTTGCTGCTGTAGATTGATATTCAGCAGGGAGGGGATTTGCTAGGCTTTCAATCCTTTCTGTTGATGGTGGCTGTGATTTTAATGATGCACTCTGGATTTTCTGTGGAACATGCAGCCTCCTGAGCCCTCTTATCTCTTCTTTTTCCATTTGGAAAAAAAAGGCTTGAACAAAAGCTCTTACAGCCCTCTCTGTCTCCACTCCATCTCCACCTCAGGTATGGTGAACCGGGAGGTGTTGGAGCAGGTGGAGAGAGGCTACCGCATGCCCTGCCCGCAGGGTTGTCCCGAGTCCCTTCATGAGATGATGAAGCTGTGCTGGAAGAAGGAGCCCGACGAGAGGCCAACCTTCGAGTACCTGCAGTCCTTTCTGGAGGACTATTTCACCGCCACAGAGCCACAGTATCAACCTGGAGAAAACCTATAGCCAGACTGGACTCTTCTGTGTATCCCTACGCCTAGAGGAAGCTTGTTTAATGACAAGTCCAGAAAAAGTTGACCGGAAACTGCCAGTCACACAAACCACTACTTGCTCTACATTTTCTCTCTTCCTTTTTTTCTGTTTCCAGTGTCCACACAAGATTTTGTTGCATTTCATAATTTTGTGTTAACCTACGGTACTACACAAGTCTTAGATGTGTGAATTTCTGAATATGACTGTGGTTTCCGATTTCAGAGAAATGTTTCAGATACACTCCACGTGGGATTCTTACTCCTGTGAAATAAGCTGTGACGAAGCCTCGCGGACGAAAAACCCACTGAGAAAAGCCGGCCGTCGCACTCATTTGCCTCCAAATTTGTGCTGTAACAATAAATTATGCAACATAATGATTAATTGTTGATAAGAAATAATATATTTTCCTAACGAGGAGACATTCTCAGGGTGAGGTTGATGGTCCAAATTCCACACGGCTTATCTTTATTCACGTCATCAGTTGCAGTAGACATGATTAAGATTGTGATAAACTCTGTCTTTTTTTAAAAAAGAACAAATATGTTCCTAGAATTTATAATCTCACGGACATTGATTTAAAGCTTCATTTGAAGACTTCCCCTCGCTGTCCATCATCCTCCAGAAGAGACTTTGTGATTACAATGCCATAATTCTTTGTGTCCCTCACTGCCCCGGTTACTATAATCCCACTGTAATCGCTGCAGAGACATGCTTACACGAAAGACGTTTGTATAGTGTGTCACTGGGTCTATTTAACGGTTTAAACAGGGATGGGATGAAACTCAGACTCTCGTGTTTTATGGTGACTCTGCAAAAAATGTTGTTTGTATGGCAGTGATGTGTATGATAGCTCTTCTCTTTGCTCCTGTATGGACTCGACAGGACAGTATTATATTGTTATTAATGCCAGTTGGTGACCGAGCTTGTAATGAAGGGCTTTATAAACTCCTCATTTTGTATGATTATTGATAAAATTGACAAGACTGCAAAGTTTACCGGGGAGGCAGGTTGTGGGTGGAGACTCACCTGGGGAATTTGTACAATAAAACGCGATTTTACACAGTGTATTTTTATATTTTTATTATTCACTTAGAGACCAGACGCTTTGATTTGTCTCTTTAAGCCTCATCTTTAATGTTTAAACCGGCACGACACGGTGAAGTGGGTGGGGTAAGCTTACAGAGGTCACAACAGCAGAAACCGCTTCGATCACATGACAGACTTAATCTGTGCGCAGAGATGTCGTACAAAATTGTTAATTTGAGAGTGAGGGATGTGAGGTTCCCGACGTCCCTGGAGCAGCACGGCTCAGACGCGATGGTAAGAAGTTTGTGCAGCTCGTTCTCCACGCGCGTGCATGTTCGCATTCACAGACACAGTCACAAGAATGAGACCTTTCCCCCCCCCTCTCATGTCCACGCTGCAGCACACCGACCCGGACTACTCGGCCGCCTATGTGGTCCTCGACACGGACAGCGGCCTCAAAGGTTTCGGCCTCACGTTCACGTTGGGAAAAGGCACCGAGATCGGTAAGATCCACGCGGGGCGGCCTTAAAGACCCACTTTGACGACGCCACCACAACAAACTTGCTGTTGCATTCAAGTGCACGCAGTGAGCTCGGAATTTCTGGTTTTTGAACAGTGAATTTTATCAAAAGGTTTTCGGTAGGGGAAAAAAATCTCAGCTATATAGAGTAAATGTGAAAACGCTGCTGTTTTTTATTGAGCAAAATTACAACTGCGATGTAGATTTTTACATGAATACAACGTCTCATAACTTACACCACCAAATTGTTTTAAAAAAACATTAACAATGCAGAAATCAGCCACATTGTGGTTTATTGTCGGTGTTTCTATGGCCTACATGCTCCTTAATGATTAAAAAGTTGCAGAGAAAATGTCCGATCTTGGATGACTTTTCTCTTTTTAATTTCCAAGCCCTGCACTGCCATCTTGTGGTAGTTTTAGTCAATGGATTTCAGTTACATTACAGAGAATACTGACATGATATGAACATGACAAAAACGATAACATTTATAACATGTATGGTGCAGAGTTCATAGATGCTGGAATAAGGATGGATTACTAGTTAATATGCACACAGTTATTACATGAGGATTGACTATAAAAATGTGTATATGGTGTGTATATATGGCATTAGTTATCTTAAATAAAACAAGAAGATAAAAAACAAACAAACAAAAGCAAAACAAAGATATATTTCTCCCCCTTCCCAGGTTTGGTTTTAAATCCTGATTTGTATCAACTACCGCTTAACCTATATTAGTTCCTTTCAGGTTAATCTAAGTTTATTTTAGTTGTTCTAACTCTCTGATCAATACGAGTTCACTCAGGTCTAATAGCTCGATTTAATTTCGCCTCATTCGGTTCACCCAATGCTTTCACTCGCTGTATGTGCAAAGTAGCTGGTTATAAAGCATCAAGAGGACTTGAGTTCATGGCTCAAGTCCTCTTGATGCTGCAGCAACAGAAAATATTGTCAAGGCAAGAGACTATCAAAATAAAACAGGAAACTACTGTTGAAACTGAAAAATATTCATTAGTAATTATTCATCTCTGTCTAACATAGTGTAACTGTTACTCTGTCTCTCTCTGTTCTCTTCTCTTCCCACTCACCCTCAATTAGTCACAGTGGATATCAAAGAGTGCAGGCTTATGAGCGAGACGCCTTTGTGTAGGGTGGCACAGAGCAACAGGGAGATAAACTGGACAAAACACCGAACATCATAACTTGGCTGTTGCAGGGCTGTCATCTCAGACTCCACAGTCCCTGTATCTGTTTAAATGAGGTTTATTAAAATTATAGATCTTTGTTGAAGTTTTGATCTACATCCAGTTTTTCTTTGTTTTTGTTGCTGGTTGAAACCCCACAGTGCTGTGCGCTGTCAAGGCCCTTGCAGGACTAGTTATCGGCAAATCTTTGCAGGAGATTGTGAGTAACTTCCGTGGATTTTACCGCCTCCTGACCAGTGATGGCCAGATGAGATGGGTGAGAGTACAAACATAACATAACAAACATGACCAGATTACAGTCATTTCTTTAGATTTCAAGCTAATATCAGTTTCACTTGACTGATGGAATCTGCTGATATTCACTCGGTGTTTAACACTTATGGGCTAATATCAATATGATTATTGAATAAATGTTAAATGACATATTTTATATTTATAAAATATGTCATTTATCTAGCGGTGCCCACACTTTTGTATCCATACGAGACAGCTTATTCAGACTGGTGGCTTTGCCAGTGTTGTTGAATAATGTATGCTTGTTTTTTCATGCCAAAAAAGCCTCCAACAATAATTAACTATAAAAAGAGAAGAGACCTAGTTAATAAATGCATGATGAAAAATGTGTCTATTAACAAACGGCGGTGTACTCTCCAGTTTTGCTAGATGTAATTATGACTCTCGTCTGGTACAGTTAGGTCCAGAGAAAGGAGTGATCCACCTGGCCACTGCTGCAGTCCTGAATGCTGTGTGGGACCTCTGGGCAAGAGCTGAAGGCAAGGTGGGGAAATCTCAGATGAAGCTTAATAAGTAAAACTTTGTTTCTTTCATAAAGCATGACACATCATGGCTCACAGACTTTTTCCACAGCCGCTGTGGAAGCTGCTCGTGGACATGGTGAGTCAGAGATAATTTACTCCACTGATTTATGTCCGGGATGTAATCACAAGGGAAATATCATGCTATATATTTGTCAATTCAGGACCCGAAGCAGATTGTGTCGTGCATCGACTTCAGATACATCACTGATGTGCTTACAGAGGAAGAAGCTCTGGGTGAGACTGGTTTTTGACGTCATTGAGTGTGTCCAGTACAGTTTGAGAAATGCAGTGTTACCAAAACGCTGTGTCACGCTCCTTCTGTCTTCATTCTTTTCTTAGACATACTTGTGAAAGCACAGGAGGGCAAGAAGCAGAGAGGTGAGCACACTAATTACTGCCTCTTTAGAAACCAACCAGAGCCCTTTCAGCCACCATAAAAGGCCAATTTATTCCATTTAAACACAATTTAATTCAGTACATATCTTTTTTCTATCAGAGGATCAGATGCTGAAGGAGGGTTATCCTGCATATACCACCTCCTGTGCTTGGCTCGGATACTCAGACCAGCAGCTCAAGCAGGTCTCTGTTGTATAAATCGCTCAGCAAACAGTGCGTCTAGTTAGGCATACTACTAACTATAATGACAGTCATGTTTCTGTTAAGCTCTGCTCAGATGCTCTTAAAAGCGGATGGACCAGATTTAAGGTGAAGGTTGGCGCTGATCTAGAGGACGACATACGCCGGTGCCGCCTCATAAGGAAAATGATTGGACCCAGCAGCACATTGGTAAGCCTGTTCTTGCCCCTGCATGTGTAATGGCATTAGGAAATTATACCAAAGGGGTTTATTTTTCTGTTAGATGATTGACGCCAACCAGAGATGGGACGTAGCCGAGGCCATAAGTTGGGTGTCCAGACTGGCTGAGGTCAAACCCCTTTGGATCGAGGAGCCCACGTCTCCAGATGACATCCTGGGTCATGCTGCTATTTCCAAGGTAAGAGAATAATTTCTAGTTTTCAGCTTGTTTATGTGTATGAAAGGCATTTCTGTGATACAGTAAGTATACGGGACAACAGAAAGGTTGAAAAATCATCAAAACAAACCATCAGATACATTTTATGTCTTTCTGTGGCTATTTTGCATCCCTTGGCAGTCGTTTTAAACCTCTATATGGTTGTATCATTGATTTCTAATGAATAATATTAAGGGTAACAATAAACACAAGAACAGGACCCTCTTTCTGTCTCTTAGGTACATTCAGTCATCCATCCAGGGCTGTTGAGTGATAAACAACTTTCTTGTTGCAGGCTTTGGCTCCACTGGGGATTGGAGTGGCAACAGGCGAGCAGGTCAGAGCTCAGGTCTGTTCCAACAAGCATATCTTTGATGGGTTATATTTTTAGTTGAGTTGAGTTGAGTTTTCTCTCCAGTGTCACAACAGGGTGATGTTTAAGCAGTTCCTGCAGGCCTCTGCACTGCAGTTTATCCAGATAGACAGCTGTAGGCTGGGCAGTGTCAACGAGAACCTGGCCGTGCTGCTGATGGCTTACAAGTTCCAAGGTAAAAGTTCAAGGAATAACAATCATGAATCATACAGATCCCCAAGGCATGTTTTTTTAAAAGTTGCCAAAGGCCCTCAAAGGTTATTAGACAAATACTGCCTACACAGAGGAAACTCGTGGGTTTGCGTTTCTTCTTTCTCAGTGCCTGTGTGTCCTCATGCCGGTGGAGTCGGGCTCTGTGAGCTCGTCCAGCATCTGATTCTGTTTGATTACATCTGCGTGTCTGCGGATCTCAGGAACCGGTAGGAGCAGCGTTTATTTTTATCAACAGTTTGATCTCAGTGATTATAACCAAACACTGACTTTTTGATTTGTTTTCCCCCCAGAATGTGTGAATATGTAGACCACCTCCACGAGCACTTCACTAGTCCTGTAGTGATTCAAGACGCCCACTATATGCCACCGAAGGCAAGAAACTGATTAGGAAGTCAATCTGCATTACTCTGGAAAAAAAACCAAAACTTTGTGTTGTTTACAGCTGCTGGTATAGATCGTTCTGCTCTTTGATTTCAGGATCCAGGCTATTCTTGTGAGATGCTGGAGGAATCTGTGAACCGACATGAGTACCCTGAAGGAGACATATGGAAACAGGAAATACAGAAATAGGGACTGTATTTTAAACATTTTACATTTGTACAGTACAAACATTGGAGGGGAATAAACATTCTGAAATTGTCACATAAAAGGACTGGACTGAAAATGTCCAAAGAAAAAGTCTTTCAGAAAGCCTGGGGAACTGAAATTAACTTTCTCCAGAGCTCTTTTTCTGTTAAATAGAATATTTTTCTTCTTACTGATCAAAGTGCCAAGTTTTAGTGAATCATTTGATTTTTTTTTAATACTCTTTGGTCTTTCCTTTATAATGTAAAGTGCTGTGAGAAAACTGCTGCTGTGAAATAGAACTATATTAATGAAACTTGAAAAATTACAAGTCAAGCTGTAAACCTTGTATTAAGTCCTCTTAAGTCATCAGATTGTGGTCATCTTTCCTTCATAAGCACTTGTCATGTAAATCCTCTAAATTCTGTCTTCTGAAGAATTTCCCTCCTATGCAGTGCTTTGCAGCAGAAACCCATTAACAAGATATCTGAAGGCTGCTACCCTGTTTAAGCCAAACAGTTCATGGGTGTACAACTCCAGTTCATCAGTTAGCATATAGGAAGTTGCAAATACATGAAATTAAAGACTTGTGGACAAAGCTGTAAAGTAGGCAACCTGGGCTCACTGTATGTGACACCCTTTACTTAGTTTTAATTGGTAAACCCGTCCTTTATTAGGATATATGAACATATCTTTTAACTTTTGTGACGTCTTGCAAAGTCACAACTAGCATCTTCAAACTCTTTAAATAAACTAAAAATCAAAGCACTCTCCACTTACCCACCAGTGTCATATTTTGTACTGAATGTACAACTAGATTGCGCTCAAGCTGACAAAGTTAACATCTTTATTTACAGACTTAGATAATTATTCATTTAAAACACAAAACAAAGAACTTGAAGAGAGAAAAAAACACTTTGAAGTGCTTAAGGCTTAAAAGAGAGTTCACCCAAATCAGACAGAAAAAAACTGAACTTTTAGCATGAGTGAAGCAGGCATACATTACAGTGGAGAGCATACTGTTCATTCATAACAACGTTGTGACTTGAGTTTACACAGCCATCTTCATTTTGATTGTGGGATGTGGGTTGTAGTCGTAGATCTCAAAGTCCTCCGTGCGGAAATCATCGATTTTCTCCACTTTTCTCAGGATCCTCAGTTTGGGGAATGGTCGGATCTCTCGCTGAAGCTGCACATGAAACACAAACAAACGTGTAAGTTTGAAATTTAAAAAAAGCAATGAGACATGCAAGAAGCACATTTAACTAACCCACCTGCTCTTTGAGAGGTTCAGTATGGTTGAGGTAAACATGAGCATCTCCCAGGGTGTGAACAAAGTCGCCCGGCTGAATGGACAGATTAAAAAAATATATATCATGTGATGCGATAGAGGGGACACTGCTGGACCAAACAGGTATCAAATATGACAAGAATGCACTGGCCATACCTTGAGTCTTGTAATGTGTGCAATCATGTAGGTAAGAAGTGAATAGCTGGCGATGTTGAAAGGCACCCCTAATCCCATATCAGCAGAGCGCTGGTACAGCTGACACGACAGCTCGCCGTCGCACACGTAGAACTGGCAGAGTGCGTGGCAGGGGGGCAGCGCCATCCTAGGAAGGTCTGCAACACCACAAGACACGACAAAGATTTACCTTTTGTATAATTCTTCACCAAATGCGACTTAAAGCAAAAGGTCTCCGTTGGCCTCACCTTTGGGGTTCCAGGCACACATGATGATGCGCCGGTCCTCTGGATTCGTTTTGATGGTGTCAATGACTTTCTGCAGCTGGTCAACACCTTGTCCTGTGTAATCTGTCCAAAGATGAAACCAGGAAAAAACATGAAAACTTGACATCTCTACAAATGATTTTCATTTACAGCAGCATTTCCATATAAGATAACACCTGTAAAAACCCACAGCCTGCTGTATGTTTTACAGAATTTCTGTGCATCTTTATGAAATATTCAGAATGACTAAATAAAGGGTGGCCCTCAAATACCTTTGAGTGAACAAATTAACTATAAAGTCCAAAGGTGGATGTTTCCTCATGCACTTCCAGTTATATGTAGTAATTCAGACAGTTACTTGTATAGCTGCCGCACCAACCACAAACAAACCTGCATTGTTTTTCTTCTACTGGGATAAAAATATGGACAAATAAAGGAAAAATTATATGCATGGCTACAGTTTGGTGAGCAGATCTGATCCTGACAAATGACTTCACAGCTTCATTCAACTGGGTGAAAACTGTACCTGCATGCATGTCTGTGTACTCTGCACCAAAGTGCCTCCACTGGAAACCATACACAGGTCCTAGGTCACCCTCTTCTCTGTCAGTGAACCCAAGGTTGTCCAGGAAGTTCCGAGACCCGTTGGCATCCCAGATCTTCACTCCTTTTTCTGACAGCTCCTTGGAATTTGTTGATCCCTGTGACAGATTGCAAAAATATCAGATCTAATTTATACATTGGGAAGATTTTCATTGACTTGTGTTTCTTTTGTTTTCCTGCCAGGCTCACCCTGATGAACCACAGCAGCTCCTCAAGGATCCCTCTCCAGAACACTCTCTTTGTTGTCAACAGGGGAAACTGGTCTGTGAAAGATTGCAAAAAGAAAACGTTACGTGATGTTGCTGAGGAAGTAGGAAGCAGCTGTCATTTGCAGATGGGTGTTTATGCAACGACTACATCTATTTTATATTTTAATGTTATGCCACTTTATACTTGTAAGTCAATTACAGTGGTTAGCAGACTAAAAGGTGCAGATGACTTTGTTTTAGGAAGACTTTTTCATATTACTTCATGCAGTCCTTCTCTTTTCAGTACTTTTAACACACAGATACAATGCCATGCTAGCTGTAAACTGTACCTCTCAGGCTGTATCTGACTTGAGCGCCGAAGAGGGACAGGACTCCAGTGTTGGTTCGGTCCCCCTTTAAGCGGCCGTTCTCCAAGATGTGCCCCACCAGACTCAGATATCCTTGTTCATCACAGAAAAATCCAGAGTTTTTCTGCTTCTCGGCCGCCGTCGTCAGTCGCTGCTTTTCCTTTTTCTCACAGCTGCCCTGCTTCGGCAGCTCCCCGGCGTGTATTTCAGAAGTTGCGGGCATTTTTGTAAATAAACTATTTCAGTGTTTCCAGCCTCAGAATCAACTGAAGAACTCCCGCTCATTTTTTGCATTTTGTTGCGCTCCCAGTCAAACTGCTTCTCTGGTTGGCTGTTCTGGGTACAGCGATAGAACGGCCAATCATAGAAGGAGAAGATTTTTCTTATACGGACCTCTTCCGCATGTGCAACAAAGCAAGGTTCACGTGGGCAAAACACCACTGCGCCCCTTTACCGCCAAATTAGTGAGTCGATCACGTGATTGAAAACTATGAATTGATAAGAGAAATGCATACGAACAAAAGTCACCCTTTCACTGTTCTTACAGATTTACGAGATGCAAACCACGGTTTGCATTTATTTAAAACTGTAAGCAAAACATACTATGAAGTACGATTCAAAAACTAAATTCAAAAGTACTCGTGACATAAATAACAAACAAAATAGAGGTTGAGGAGTGTACACTGTTTTATTGCGTAGACGTTTAAAAATCTAAGCATCAAAATACATGAATAAGAACAACATAAACTGTGCATATGAAGGTTTAGAGGTCTATGCGGTGCATTTTCAAGTATTATACAGATCAGCTTAATTGTGCACGAGAAAACCTGAATGTCCTGGACTCTTCACTCTGCATGAAGAAACTGTTCCCATGGTGGTATGATCACATTACTCCATTCCTGTGCAGAAAAAAAACTATTAAGTTTTACATTATGTAAGTGTACAGACCATTAAAAAACAAAAAATATAATATAATTAGAGATTGATTTCATGTAGATCCAATTAATCTTTTTAAACAAGTCAATAAAAAGAGGAATGTATGATTGTTTTTCTAGTCACATTATCATCTTGGATTGCAACATACTATCCAATCTGTAGCGATCGCAGTGTAAAGCGCTTTCAAATGATCGCAGTTCATCTGGGTTAAATTCAATTTGGAACTCTGCCAGGTGATGCTGGTAGCCAAATACTGCACTAAGGGACCACAATCGTGGGATCAATACCTTTTATCTTCCGTTTATATAGTGTCAGAGCCTCTTGAGCAACATTTTGGATGAAAGCAGGGTCATCCACCTCCAGATCTGCTGGGACCAGTATGGTTACTGGGGCTGAATCCATTATGGAGACAGTGACACTGCTGTCTGCTTTAGGCTTGTTATTCTTTATCTGTTGCTGTGGACTCACCTAAAAGATGAGAAGAGATGAAAATGAAAGTAGCCGTCTGACTCAAAATTGCAACCTTGGCTTGTTGCAACCTTAATAAAAGCTTCCCAATTTATACAGCAAAGATAATGTCTACAGATGCAGCATCACTAGCCACATACCAATATCACACTGAAGATGCTGTGTGGGTCCACTGTGCTGTTGGACAGCTGGCTGACCCAGCCATACTTGTCATGCATGCTGCTGAGCCACATCTGAGTGTCTGCTGTGTGTCTGTGGACCAGCTGCAGCCTGCCATCATACTGCTGACGGGAGGCATTCAGCAGCATGTACATCTCCTCCATCTCAGAGTGCAACTGCTGCACGCTGGGGCATGCTGTATGAGGAGGCAGAAATCCAGATGTTCATGTTGAACTAAAGGACTTTTTTTTTTTGCATTATTCCTGATGAAAGAATTTTAAGCATCTATCTAAAAAGCATTAAAACCATTTTTTAAAATCCTCTCAGTCAAGAGAAAATTAATCAACAACTATTTTAACAACGAATTAACCATTTAAGTAAAGCCTCAAAAATGCCCTAAACAAGTTGATTCCCATTTCTCAGATGTGAATGTTCTGTTTTTATGTCTGCTAAATCATTTTAATCTGACCATATTGTTGGGTTTGGACAGTTTTTCAGACCCAACAAGCTATGTGGCATTGCGACTCTAGGAAATTGTGACAGACATTTTTTGTTTTCCATAGTTTTCCTTCTTTTTAACGTCAAATAAAACCAGTTTTAAACTGTTTATATGTGTCTGTGTGGGAAGAGCGGCAAAATAAATCTGGATTTACCCTTTAACAGATAATCCCTGCATGTCTCACACAGGTCTTGAAGCTTCCAGCACTCTGATGCTTGTCTGCGGAGTCTTCTGCACATATATCTGCTCTGCAGCGGTCCCATTGCAGAAAACAAGCCTGTATCTTTGTAGGTGGACATGAATTATGTTACACACAAACAACCATTGTCTACAAACACACATATTTAAGAGTGCAGCGTTGTGCATCAGATACCTCGACTTGATTGCTGAACGTACTCTTCAGCTTCTTTTATTTCCTCAAACAAATCAGCCACTGGGGCGCTGAAGCCTTCCAGCACGCTCTTCCCAAAGTCAAGCACTGAGTGAAGAACGTGCTCCAAACCCACCGACCCAAGGAAGCCAGAGCTTGACCCTCTGGTCGAAAGCGTGCTGGACTGCAGCTCAGTGGCAAAGGTTTCTAGAAAGGCGTGACCAAACACGGGTTGCATCTTCTTGGCCAGACCAATGCTCTGGTTGTACAAAAGGCTGATGTTTGACAACAGGTCGCTGAATGATGCTTCAGCCTGCAGCAGCTCCATATTGGATTTGTCCTCTGTGACCTGCTTTTCAGCTGCGACATTTTCACCTGAATTCTCCTGATTTTTATTGTGGACCTGCTCGGCATCTTCTAACTTAGTGGCCATTTTCCTGAAAAACTCCTCTACCTGAAGGGAGGGAGAGAGATTCACAGAGATATGTTTGCACCTTAAACATCAGTCCTAAAGAGATTCCTTTTGTTGGAATGTGCTGAAGTCAAACCTTGAACGAGAAAGAGGCGAAGCCGCGGCGACACGTAGATGTATAGAAGGCCTTACAAGAATCTTCCAAACATGGTCGGCACTCCCCAAAGGAAGATTTGGTTAAATCTTGACATTGTTGTTCGGCTTCCTCGACTTTTTGCTGTGTTTCTTTGGCCAGCTGCATCACCCCCTAAAACCCAACCCAAAAAACAGAAAACTCTGTCACAGATACATTCCCTTTTAATAAACCACAGAGGATAAGATGAAGTCTGAGGCTCTGGCACTCTGCCCTGCCCTGCATTCTGAAAACACTCAGAAAATATAATAATCTAGAGACAGTTAATTTATCCTGACTGTAGTAAAACTACACCCCAGACTCACTTAACCAGCTGCACTCCCACACTCATTTTTCACTGTCTGCTTTGAGGTCTCTCCATGTGACTTTGTCTTTGTGAAGCAGAAAATATGTGGTGGGTTTCAGAAAAATGCACAAGGACTGGCATGAAACCATTTAAACACGTTTTTAATTGCGGGTACATCTTAACCAGCCACAAATGCTGTGCAGGATTTTTGAAACTGGACGATCAGCACAGTGCAAAACGAACAGAATTCACCTTCTTCTTATCACTGCTGTGTCTCAGTGCATCCATCAGGTGCCTGTGCTTCTCTTCTTTCTTCTCCATCATTTCCTTCACCTGCTTCACTCCGAGCAAAGTTCCCTTTAGTTCCTCATCAACATACTGCTCTCCCGCTGCGGAAAGCCCTGCACACACCCGTGGAACACACAATACTTTAAGCTCTGCAACAGTAATCACCGGTATCTTGTTTTTCGCTTTTCTTTTCCGTCAGCGAAGGCCTTACTTTTCAGTGTTTCCTCGCTGATCGGAGGAGAGTCGGCGGCACAGAGCATGACTTCAGCGATGAAGAGAATCTGAGCAAGAAACCTCCACATCCTGCCTCAAGCTTCAGAACAGGAGAAGAATTTTTTTTTCTAGCAAAAAGAAACAACGACCACATGGTGGTGCCAGCTCACAAGCAAATTTATATATAATATTTACAGGATGAAGGGGAGTGGATAAAATGTCAGTTCATTAGTATCCAATATGAAATCAATGTCAAACCAATAAACATGATGAGCTGAACAGATCCACTAAGGCAGCTGTCAGTTAATCTTTTTGGATTTGTTCATTAGTATCACATTAGGGAATATGATGGCTTACTACCATAAAGTGCAGATGAATTATACATAAAGGTGAATATCCAAAAAATGTACACAACAAAACCTCAAATTACTACACAATTTATTTTTTTCTTAAATAAGCTGAAAGCAACAGCAAGTAAATAGTAAATAACAGGAAACAACCATAACTGTGTGTTTTTGCTCTGAATACTGCATATTTATTTAGTTTATGGCGTCTTATCAATGCAAATTATTCCCATTAACCTTCAGTGAACACAGAGTAAGATGTCTTCCAGGTTGCAAACATTTAAAATATCTAGTTTAAAAAAAACAACAGCTGTATTGCAAGTCTCCTCCAATATCTCATCCAAGCCTGCTGTTGCACTGCAACTGTGCCATTCTGTGCAAAACACAAACCGAAGAAATGTAGAACAAGCTTTTACCTTGAGAGCTCTGAAAATATCCGACTCCCGAAAAAAAAAAAAGCAGCAGCTTGTGCTTATGGAAGGATGAGACTGACACAGTCTGGTTCCTCCGAGGATTGTTCTATTTTTATGGATCTACTCAGCAGTACAGATCCTATTAGTGTGTTTGCATTATTGGTTATTAAGCCTTATGCGCGCTGCATACCTGCAGATCAACTTTAATGCTCTGTAAATATAACGTGCTCAGTTGTTTGTCTGTCTCACGCACTTAATGGTCTCTAACATAGTCCAGAGCCCTCCTTAGGTAAAACTTTATGCTTTAATCTCTATCAGACTGACAGTAAGCCTGAGCCCCCTGCAGAGAATTGGCACACACACTGGCATGGTCTCAATCATGGGTTAAGCTCTGCACTGCAGGCCACAACAGGAGCAGGAGGACTGCACATGCACACGTGCACACTATACACAAAACAGGGTAACTGAAAAGAGGATATACGGCTGCTCTTAGTTTAAGCTTTAACAACAAACTGTGTAGACTTTCAGTTTATGTTGCTTGTTTTCCGTTTTTCTACCATTCCAGGCAGCCATTCATTTCTGTAGGGTATCAAAAAAAAAATCAGTAGAAGACAGCTGTATATTCCAGTCCAGGGAACACGAAATATGGTTTACATCGATAAGAACCCTGACTCTACAATTTGCACTGTCATTTCAACTTCACGTAATACAGCTGTATGCCTGGTGATATGGTTACCTGTGCTGTAAATGTACTAGCTGGTGATAAACAGCCAAAAGAAACTGCATGTAATCCTTTAGGCTCTTGTGTCTTACTGAAACCCATCTGTCATCATGAGTAACCAGAACAGCTACAAAGCTTTCTGGCACTCTGTCTGAAACTCTTCCGGTTATGGAGAATGATATTGTGACTGTATGCATTATCACTTAGTAATTAACCATCTAACTTTACATACAACATTTTTATACTTAGTTTTCCTCATTGAAACATCAGTATTTGTGCGTTTCTCCACTTACGTATTCAGACTTTTCCTTTAGTTCGTTACCAATCTGTCTTCCATCCACACAGAGAAAACTGGAAACTATCTGATCCTGGAAGTCATCATACTTAAAAATAGTGTGTCATAAGACCGAAAGCTTGGTCCAAAAACTGGACTGTGTAGGAACCCAGAGCAGAGACAGCAGAACGTTTTACGATGTTTATTGGTTAAACTCAAAATATGATAAGGACAGAGGCAATAAAACACAGGACTTGACGTGGCGAGGCCTAGTTTACGTGGCTAGCTTGACATGGATTGAGAGGGGGGAATTGATGTACACTGGAACGTAGCAGTTTAGCAGTCACACTGAGGAGAGAGGACAACTGAATTAGGGAAGGGTAGTGGAGAGGAGCTCTGTAGATGGTTAGTATGTTTTACAACTTTTCTTACTTGCAGGTGGAGTGAGTAAGCAATGAGGGAGGGGTGACGTGAATCCAGAGTGAGCTGGACGGTGTGGGATGGCTGACCTGAGATCTGAAGGTTTCTGATGATGTGCAATAGCGGAAGGGCAGGCAGATGAGGCACAGAGTGATTTCAAAGATTGGGTAAGGTATCCTGAGTCCAAAAGAGGAGCTTAAGCTTGAGGTTTGAGTCAAGGTGAGTCCTGGAACTGTGTCACAAGAAAACAAGGTTAGCAGAGTAAAATCACAAGGAGAGCCTGAACCATGTAAGCTGGCTACCAACATGAGTTGATGATGAACTGGCGGTGAATGAATGTCAGCGTGAGGCCTAAATCACTCTGGCTTGATTGCCTGCAATCAGCTCCAGGTGTGTAGAACTGCAGAGGAGAAGATGGCCCTGCCCAGGGGCGATACCAGGTAGACTCAGGATCCTGATGGAAAATTCCAGCCGCACACCTGGAGCTGTATTAAAGACACTATTTTTTAATTAATCTTAAAAACTTTAACTGAAAACTTTACTACCAGGAGGCAGTGTTGGTCTAATGAGTTTGTTGAAATTTTTCCAGATGTTTGCAGCTGCTTCTGTTTTTTTAAAAGTATATATATTTATTTAAGATGCTTTGGAATTTGCAGGCTGCCATTCTAAATAAAAATGTTTAATCATTTACTGGTTGGATAAAGGTTACATTGACTCACTGCCCCCTCTTGTGGTACAATGTGGTATTACATAAAAGTACAGCCCAGCCCTCTTTCACCTTATTTTTATATCTCTTTTTCAGGCATAAAGTCATAGTGGTTGCATTTTAAAATCCTGTTGGTAAGTTTAGCTGTGGAAGATTTAAGACTATTTTTAAAAACAGGATTTTACAGTAAGAATTCATTTTTTAGAGCTTGTCACTGTTGCCCCCTAGTGATCATAATTTTCTTTCTTTTTTTAGGGCATGAACAGTTATGTTAAGGTACAGTTTTAATAAACAAAAAAGTTATTAAACTATCTCAGCAGTCTATGGAAAAGTACTTTCTCTAGTCTGCCAACAGTGAATCTCTCCTGCAGCAATTGAATGATTTGAGTTGCCATTTTTCTAATCACTACATGGCGGCACCGTGGCAAATGTGGAATTCCTGTATGCTTTCTAAATCTCCTGCTAATCTGAACCCACTGCAGAAAGCCTTGACCCAGCAAATGAGGTCCCAACCCCTGAATAAGGACCAGCAGGAGCTTGGTAGTAAGCTACCTGACCCTCAGCTGCTTTTTATTAGCTCACCACGATCTCTCTCTGCGCCCCAATACTAGCCTGCTGCTCCAATCATAGCCGACAGTAAAATAACAGTTTTGAAGCCTTTAGTATAACAAGTAATTAGTTGCTTGATTATCTCAACTTGGTCTGAAGTATGTTATGTGGCACACTGGGTCAAACTCAAGCTATTAGTGCTGAGCCAGAGTTAGAAGGCTGTGTTATCCAAAGAAAGAAGAACAAACAGATCTGAGCTGGACATGTGTGCTGCTTTCCTTCCAAGCCCAGAGGATTCCAGTGCTGAGACACTTGATGTTGTCTGCATCCGTTTCTGGAAAATTTACTGGCATGAAGTGAACGAGTGTAAAAAGATTAGCATCATGTAACCCAGTGACACTAACCTGGACTGTGAAGATGCAAGAGTGGGCCTGTCTCATTTCTTTGATGTTCCTTGTTAGTCTGGGAGGATGCAGCTGGAGCTCTGTGTTTGATCAGTGATCTGAAGACTGTGGATACAGGAAGTGTCCAGAAATTATCACAACACCTGGAAGAGTTAAAGAAAAATGGCGCCCAGTGAACCTTACAGTCTAATATGGATAAACAGCGGACACTTCTCAGCAAAATAAGCTATTTCTAGAGGAAGTGCAACCATCTATAAAGCCATGTTGTCATGAGGATGTTATTGTGCTTTATCAAACAGAGCTCATTTAGACATCGTGGCAATAAAAATGCATAGTTATAGTTTTTCCACTAATTTATGCATGCAGCTGGAACATGCAAACTTTTTTTATACCTTTGAAGTACAGCTCTCACGCAGCCGTAAGACTTTTTCTTGAATCTATAAGTTTTTGATTTTAGTTTTTGCATGCCTGCTATTTTTTCCTGCAGGATTCTCTCCTGTTCTGTGGAAGCAATGGAAAATACTCTGCAGTGTTTTGCAGGATTGTGGGGCTGCCGTGATAAATCAGATGATAACACGTCACCAAACAGCATGTTTAATCTATTACCGCAGGGAGGCTGATATTAAAATGATTTTTAAATCCTTGAAGGACATGAGATATGAGCCTAAATATGCAAAACAGAAACTGGGCAGAAATGTCGCGGTGCTCCCCTCCACCTTCTCCAACCTTTGAAATTATCTCTAATGGGTACCAGATTTTTACCCGGGGGACGAGATTGCTATCAACCCCCTGTAACCTAATCTCATCTCCGGCTGGATTACTGCAGCGTCGGGCGACGTCTCGCGGTCTGTAGTGCTGAAAGCAGTCCGCACCTCCTCTGTCCCCACAGGAGGAGGCTCAGCAGGAGGGCCGGGGACCGTAACTGCTTTGAAAGGCTGTGCAGCACAGATGTAGTAACAAGTTTGGTTGTCAAGTTATGTATAAAGTTATGCAGAAATTGAGTCCAGTGCCGGAAATGAAGCATCTTAGCTTTCACAATAAAAGCGTGCCTAAATTAAATTTAGATACCTTAAAAGCACTTAGAAAGTCTAAAAGAGAGGACAGAAAATGTCATCTATATGTTGTTACAAATGACTAATAGATTAGTTTCCTTGTCAAAGAAAAGATTTTGAGCTTGACACAGAAGTTTTTTTCTGATGTCTTGAAACCAAGAACTGTGCAAAAGACCCGAGGCATCCTTCATATCTTTATAGTTTACTAGGAAAATATGTGCAGTCATCACATAATGTTGAGGTTCGAGCTGTAGGAAAGCCAGTGCACGGCAGAGAGTGTTTTATTGTGTGTGTTTTCAGAATCAGAATCAGAATGGGGTTTATTGCCAGATGTTGAGGTTTACAACATTAGGAAATTGCTGCGGTGCTTCAGTGCAAACAATAAGAATTAAAGTGCTATGTAGAAAGAAAGATATGTGCATGAGATATACATGAGATATATACATGAGAATAAGAATTATGAGTGCTACGTAGAAAGATATATACATGAGTGCAGGTGGTGATCAGTGCCAAACATGAAATGATGCAGTGACACAGCGTAGGGTCATGTGTTAGTGGCGGGGACAGTCATGTGGTTATTGTTCATGTGTCCAACAGCAGAGGGGAAGAAACTGTTCTTATGGCGAGAGGTTCTGGTGCGAATGGACCGGAGCCTCCTGCCTGAGGGGAGCAGGTCAAACAGACTGTGTCCAGGGTGAGAAGGGTCAGATAATTCAGATATGCTTTTATTGCATCAGCAGCTTGTTTGGAACGAGTGCCATGCAAAATCCTATCCTGTAGATAGAATTTAGGGCTACGACTTGACAAGAGGTGCCAGGTTTTCAGTAATATCTTTTGATCATTGGCATTGTTATATTTGATAAACTGCGATATGTTTGGTATTTTTTCATAGAAAGACGAAATGGGAACAAATTATGTGAAAGGCATCTTCATCTATTAGGCATCTATTTCATCTTCCTGAAATAGGTTGTATTTTCTGTGGTTTAAGGGGTGGAAAAGAGGTGGGGCGACTACAATTTATTCTGAAAGGACCACCGGAAACACAACTTGCTGCTTTGTGTAACTTA